CATTGGCCGGTTCTCCAAACTACTCAAAGTTTCCGCTACCGGTTCTCCAGAACCTGCCAGAACCTGCTGGATTTCACCCCTGGGCAGAGATGCCGTGGAGATTGGCTGGCCTTACTGCGTGCCCAGGGGAACAGGGGCATCGGGGGTCCCCCACACTTGTTCCCATGTCCCATCTCGGAGAAGCCGTGGGTGAGGAAGGATGCTCCGGGTGCCTCTGCCAAGAGAAGGGAGCTGGGCTCGGAGCTCCATGGGGCCCCCGGGGTGGGCGCGGAGTGGCGGGTGGCCCTCCCCCCTGGCTGCGTTTCTGAAGAAGGCTGCTCTTTCCCCACAGAGACGAGAGAAGACCGGACCAAGAGGCTCTTCCGACATTACACCGTGGGCTCCTACGACAACTTCACTTCACACAGGTGAGCTCGGCCTCTGCTGCCTCGAGACACCTGTGGGGGGGCTGCCCCCAATGATTGGTACCCTGGCAGAGTATGAGTGTGCGTGTGGGATGTGTGTGCATGAGAGAGAGAGGGACAGAGGGAGAATGAGAGAATGAGCATGGCTTTATGCCTCCTTCATAAGAAGCTTTGGAAGGGGGCTTCTAAAGCCAAGCTGGGGGTCTGAAACGCCCTTAAAAAGGCAGAAAGTGGTCCAGGCAAAGCCACCACTTTGGCCCTAGGATGAAGCCCCCCCCCCAGAGAGCCCCTGGTTGTGACGGCAGAGACCCCGGGGGGCCCTGGGTGGAGAAGTGGTGGTGGGCAGCGTCTGGATGTTCTCAGGGGGCCCTGATTTCAAGGAAGGCCCTTAACCTCTCACAAGGTTCTGCGGGAGAGAAAAGGCAACCAAAGGGGGGAGGGGGGCTCCCTACTTCTACCAGGGGAGATTGGGGAACGCAGCGGAACAAGAGGGGGGCCCTTCAGCCTCCATTTCAGTCGAACATTGGGGCCTTTTCTGGGCCATCCGGAAGATCCGGGGGGGCAGGGCACGTGGTGACCCTGCACTGCCAGGGGGACGCGGTTCCTTGGCATCGGGGTGGAGAGTGAAACCCGTTGTGCTGCTGGGTGCCGTTTTCCAAACTCGCCTTTTTGCTTCACTTGGTTTTCAGAGGCCCAGAGTTGCTTGGATGCTTGAGGGGGTCTTTTAGTGGAAGGAGGGGACATTTATCGGTGGGGGGGGGGGCAGCCCTGCTCTCCGTTTCAAGGCCGTGGAGCCCAAGGACAATTCCAGGCTCAGTGGCCAGCCTGACCTCGCAGAGCACAGTTTCCTCCCCACCGAAGTGGTACCTGTTCATCTACTCGCATTTGCATGCTTTGCCTCCTGCTGCTGGTTCCCCCACTTCACGTGGGGCAAACCAGGCAGTTGCTAGCAGGGGACTCTGCATGTGGTTGCTGAACTAGTTTGCACCGCCTGAAGGATGTCCACGGGGCACGGTCAGAAGAAGGCAAGAAGGCAACGGACACAATCCCCGAATCAGTCTTCTGCCGTTAATGCAACCCCCCCCTTTCCCCTTTTTAAAGGGGCAAAGCCTTTTTTGATCAGGCCCTCTAGAGCAGAGGGGCGTCCAAACTTGGGAACTTTTAAGACTTGTGGACTTCAATTCCCAGAATTCCCCAGGCAGGCGGGCGAACCTCAGAATTCTGGCTTGGGAATTCTGG